CCATCACGTCTATATAACGTACCTTGTTCAGCCATTCCCCAGTTTATGGCACTCCCTCACATTCCCATTCTTTGCCTCCACAGAAAGAGCTATAAGTGTTTTTGTACATCCTTAGAGTTTGTGTTGTTTAGGATTACTCTCTCCTTTCATTTACTCTCCTTCTAATTCCCCCTCCCCCTTTCTCTCCCTTCTACTTTTCTGTCGAATAAAATGTAACGTTGTTGTTGTTCAGTTTGTTTCAGTCACATCTAAGTCTTTGTGACCCCATTTTGGGGTTTTCTTGGCAAAGATATTGGAGTGGTTTGCCATTTTTTCCCTCCAGTTCATTTTATACATGAGGAACTGAGACAGACAGGGTCACCCAGCTAGTAAGTGTCTGGGGGCAGATTTGAATTCAGGAAGATGAGTCTTCCTGACTTCAACCTGGCATTCTATCCACTGCACCATCTAGCTGTCCTTGAATGACATTTATTACTATACCCAACACTCCCCCTCCCCCTCTCCTCTCTCTCTCTCTCCCTCCCTCTCTCTTCCTCTCCTTCCTCCTCCTCTTCCTCTTCCTCCTCCTCCTCTTCTTTTCTCTCTCTCTCTCTCTCCTTCCTTCTTTTGACCAGTTCAGCTGCGAGGTTCAAGGTTAGCTGCTCTTCCCCCCCTCCTCTCTCTTTCTCTCTCTCCCTCCCTCTCTCTTCCTCTCCTCTCTTCTCCTCTTCTTTCCTCTTCTCTCTTCTCCTCTTCTTTCCTCTCCTCTCTTCTCCTCTTATTTCCTCTCCTTCCTCCTCCTCTTCCTCCTCCTCCTCCTCTTTTCTCTCTCTCTCTTCTTCCTTCTTTTGACCAGTTCAAGGTTCAGCTGCGAGGTTCAAGGTTAGCTGCCCCCCCCCCCCGCCCGCCTTCTCCTTGTTTGTATGCATATCTTCCTGTGTGCCCTGATTATGTGAGATAATTTCTACTAACCCTGCTCCTCCTCTCCTCCCAACTAGTATATCCCTCTTCCCCTCTCTTTCCGTCCATTTCTTAAGAACCACTCTCAGACCTTGTCTCATTGAACTTTTTCTGTGAACCCTGAACCCTGATGATGATAGGGATCTGAGGGGGACATATGAATCATACTCCCTTTCTCTCTCTCTCTCCCTCCCTCCCTTTGTTTGCTGACCTGGGCTGGACAAAGGACCCACTGTGACTTTTTCTGGATTTCACCATCAAGATAGGGTCAGGTGCGTTTTCTAGTTCTGTTTGGAAGAGTCTGTGGACAGGATCTCACTCTATTCCGTCCTACCACTCTGTCATCTTGGGTTCACCCCCAGGAACTTATATCCTAATAAGTGAAGCAGCACACACATAATTAGGATATAAAAATGTGCCACAGAGTAGATGGAAGGTGGTATGGGAGGGGAAGGTTCTAGCAGCTGGGGGAGCTTGGAAAGGCCCCTTGCGGGAGGACATATCTGAGCTGAGACTTGAAGAAAGCCACACATTCAGGAGGTGGAGGTGAGGAAAGTAGTTTGTGAACCATCAAGCATTACACTCTGTGAGCTAGTCCACTTTTCTCCAGATCACTGACTTTTACCCTGGTGTTGAGACATCCATTTATTATTCCCACGTTACCTTGTGGTTTAATTTGTGCCTTTCCTTCTGGAGTCTGAAGCTTCTTCTGCATTTGGTCTAGTTTGATTCTTGCAATCCATCATGGTGCCCAAGATAGAGACTGATCAATTTTAGAGTTTCGCGGGGCTCTCCCCTCCATCATCAGAACAACGTTTGCTATGTTCTGGCACTGAGAGCTTTTCTGGCACGACTTTTAATTGCTATGTAAAAATTCATTTTGTTCCAGTTAGGCCCTTCATTGTTACCAGGATTGTTTAGAGACCCTAAGCATATAGTCTTTCTTCTCAAAGTGAATTTTGATTAAAAAAAATCACAAGAAACTTGAATGAGGATTATTAGTGGGCTGGCATTATTTTCCTGACACACAGGTCAGTCTGCACACAGAGCCTGAGTTCCACGCTCAAGAACATTCTGGAGTTCCCTGTTGGGTGGAGTATAAATTACAGATGCCTTTGTCCCGCATTTCAAGCCTTCTCCAGGGTGGTGGTGGGCTGCTATTCTAAGCTCCATCACATCATACTTTCCTTCACACTTTTCACGATCTAGTTAAAATAGTAGGTCCCCCCCCATTAGATCCATCATCTCCCACCTCTGTCTTTACCCAGGACATTCCCCATATCTGGAGCACAGGCCTTCTTCAGTGATAACCTGTTAAAATTCTTCTCTTCCTTCAAGGCTCAGCTCAGGTGGTACTTCCTCCATGAAGTCTTCCTGGATTCCTCCCACCTGAAAGTGTTTTCTCTCTCAAGTATTCCTAGGGCAGAGGTATCAAGCACATGTCCCCAGATGGCTTGTAGCCCACAACAGTCCCAGTACAGCCCAAACCACATGAAAATCTAATTGGGAAATATTTAACAAAATAAGTAAAAATACAGTAAACCAGAGATAATATTAACTTTGTGGTTTTTCAAGTCAGTATGCCCTGACAGGGATCCTTAGGCATGTTTCTGTTAGGGTTTGACACCTCTGTCCTAAGCCTTTTGGTCTGACACCTGACATGTACCTTGTACTGGACTGAGCTCTTTACAGCTCACGCCTCTGCTAGTGCGCTCCCCATTTCTGGAGGACATATTTATTTATTTACTTCTGTCTCCCCATAGCCTGGCACAATGCCTAGTATCTACTAGGAACTTAAAATGTGTGTTGAATTTAAACCGGACTCCTAAGAAGGGGCCTTTGAGATGATCTAGAAGAGATCAACAGAGTAGACTCTGTGGATGAGCCCTGTAGAGGGAGGGAGGTGACACGGTTGGAGGCCCAGGCTGGGTGGGGGCTGATCCTGGGCTACAGCCATTGGAGTCTGAGTGCAGCATCTGGCTTGCGAAAGACACAGTTTCAGGAGTGTGCTGAGAGATCAGTGCCTTTTTTTTTTTTAGTGAGGCAATTGGGTTTAAGTGACTTGCCCAGAGTCACATAGCTAGAAAGTATTATGTATCTGAGGTCGGATTTGAACTCAGGTCCTCCTGACTCTAGGGCCAGTGCTCTATCCACTGCGCCACCTAGCTGCCCCTCAATGTCTCTTGTTGAATCAGTGAACAACCAGTCATTCAACCAACAGGCCAGAAGGTTCACGTAATGAAGTTGGTGTCCTGAATGCTCTTAGAAGAATTGTCATTCGGACCTTTAATTAAGGCCTCTTCAAATTGAATGCAGCAGACAAATTTCCCAGGATGTAGTTAGATTTGCCTTGATAGAATAATTGAGATGATGTGGGTTCTCCTGATGCATTTTCTCTTCTTCAATCCTGTTTCTATTTAGTTTTACATAGAAATGTAAGTTTCTTCTAAAAAAAATTGATGAACCCAAATTTCTCATCTTTTCCCAGACTCCTGTAATTATTGCTGCTGTTTTTACCTTATGTTTATTGATACCTTGTTTTATATTTTCATTTTATATTTTAATATTATATGTATGTATTCATTTTATATTTTCATTTCTGAATACATCCCTCCCCTTCCCAGCAAGCCATCCCTTCAGATAAAGATGAGAAAAGTAGATTCAGCAAAAGTAAACAACACATCAAATTTAACAACCTGTGTGATATTCCATACTGTAGTCCTGCACCCTTGTAAAGAGGGGAAGGAGATGCATTTTTTCAATTCTTCTCTGGTCCAGGCTTGGTCATTATAATATTCTTCCTCCCTCCCTCCCTTTCTCCCTTCCTTTCTTCCTTCCCTTCCTCTCTTTTTCCTTCATTCCTTTCCTCATTCCCTCCTTTCCTCTTTCCCTCCTTCCCTCTTCTTTCTTTCTTTCCTTCCTTCCTTGCTTTCTTGCTTCCTTCCTGTCTCTCTCCCTCCTTTCTTCCTTCCCTCATTCCTTCCTTCTTCCCTTCCTTGCTTTGCTTCCTTCCTTCCTTCCTTCCTTCCTGTCTCGCTCCCTCCTTTCTTCCTTCCCTCATTCCTTCCTTCTTTCCTTCCTTCCTTCCCTTTCCATTTATTCTGTTGTATTGTCATGTGTATATTGTCTTCCTGGTTCTATTACTTCCCTCTGGATCAGTTCATATAATTTTCCTCATGTTTCTACTTGTTATTTCGGCCATGTAATAATATTGTTACATTCCTATACCACAGTTTGTTCCGCTGTTTCCCAGTCAATCACCAACCATTTTCATTTCTGTTTTTTTTTTCCTGACCACAGAAAGTGCTGCTCTAAATGTTTTGAGGTACGGCGTTGTCTTTCCCATCTTTGACCTACTAGGTGCATATGCTCAGTAATGGGCTTTCTGAATCAACAAGCATTTTAATGGCTTTTCTTGCCCAACTCCAAATTGCTTTCCAGAAACAACCCAATTCCCACTTCTTCCAATAATGTGTGTGTGCCTGCCTTTCCGCAGCTCCTGTCATAGTGACTTTGTCTTGTCACTTTTCCCATTTCCTGGGTGTGTGGTGAAACATTAGAGTTGTTTGGAATGTGTATTTATCTTATTATTGGTGACGGTCTTTCCAGTGGTTTCTGATAACTCTGCAGTTCTTTGCTGGGATTCTTTTCTAAAATCCTTTCTGTTCTGATTGTTTGGCTTCAGCCTGGAAGACAAGCCTGCTGCCCATGTATTCTTTGGGCAGAGTTTCAGTTATAGAGCTAGGGTATAGCTAGAGTATTTGTTACTAAGTAAATAAAAGCATAAATAGCATCCCAGGAGTGCTCATGTGCTGTTGGGAAAGAAACACTTTGTAAATCTTAAAGTGCTACATAATTGGAGTTGTTATTTGTTGTTGATGGCTTTTTAACATCTTCAGTATCATCCTTTTCGTTTTTTTTAGGCAAGACCCAGCCTAGACCCAAGTGAGAAACGCTTGAATAATATTATCGAGTAACGAGGAATATCTTTTTATGGTTTTTGTATTTTTGCTTATTTAAAACTCTTGCGCTGGCTTGACTATTTTTTGGTTTTGTGACAGGCTGCAGTAAAGTGCTGCTGAAGCCCAAGACAACAGAAGAGGTCTCCCAAATACTCAGGTAACTGGAGAGACAGTTAGGAGGATGTGGACAATGTCAGCCAACGTTTATCAGGTGCCCGCTATTCGCTAAGTGCTAGGTGCTGGGGATACAGATAAGAAAAAAGCAACACGGGCCCTGCCTTCCAGGAGCTCACTCTGCCAAGTCCCAAAGTAGCACAGCTAGGTGGGAAATGCGCCCGGCTGCACGGCGCTCCCCCCTCCCCTTGTTTGCAGAAGTGTGTATGTGGGGGAGGGGGAAACTCTGGGCAATGAATGTTTCGTGTGCTGTCACACGCCGTGCTTGAGACGCTGGTGAATTCTGCTGCTCTTTCGTATTCCCCGGGCAGTGAAAGGGAGAGACGTAACTAAAAACTGAAATCCCTCTGAAGTGCCACGCTCCTCACTTACCTCTAGTCTTTTCTGGACGGCTCTGTGCAGTGTGTACAAGTAGCTGCTGGGAGTAGATTTGTCCAGGGAGCCTCTTGTGAATGCCCATGGTGGTTAAGGGCTGCAGCCGCTGAGGGAAGGTGGCCTGGAGGCTGACTGGAGATGTCAGAGGAAGATGTGTTTACAGGATCCCAGAAGCAAAGTGGGGGAGGCACCTCCCAGGCATCTGGTCCAGCTCTAGCTGATTCGCCTTCATCGTGTTGCCGCCAAGTGCTCGTGGGGTCCCTCCTTTCAGGGAGGAGGCATCTGCTGGCTCCTCTCCACTTTTGGATGGCTTCCATAGTGGGGCAGTGGGCAGTTCGCTTCCCAGCCCAGCTCAGGTACCGTCTCTCTCCAGAGGCCTGTCCTTCACCCCCTCTGGCCCTGTTGGGATTACTTTGTATCGACTTCTCTGCTGATGAGTTGAATTCTCACAGGAGAATATAAACTTCTTGAGGGCAAGGCCTTCTCAGAGCCTACCCTTGCCTTTGCATGTGGCAGGTCCTAAATAAAGATTTATTGAGAAGAATTTCTTGAATTCCAGACAAGGCGATAGTTTACAGCCTCGTGGAGTGAATAAAAAATGGCATACATGCTGAATGGGCGCTTTGGCCTGTCCTCGATCACAGTTCAGTGAATGGACCAGACCAGTGACTTCATCGTACTGAGCGTTGTGCTTGTCATTGGGGGAAATATAGGATGAAGAAAGGGCACCATCTCTACCCTCACAAGAGCTAAAGAGTTGGATAACCAGGGCCAGACTGCAGGAGTGTTTCTTTGCACAACCTTCAAAAGAAACTAGGAAATCATTCCTTGCAGTTAATAAGGAGTATTTTTTTGGGAATAATAAGTGAATAAGGAATACACAGAAGCAGACTGGCATAGTGGGTACTCAGCTGGCCCAGAAACGACCTGGGTTCAAGTCCCGTCCTGGGTGATCCTGGCTGGGTGACCCCGACCTGCTCCCTTGACCTCTGAGTGCCCCTCCCCTCTCTGGCACTGTTAGTAGCACATCAGGTACCCTTCTGCGTTGCTAGAAAGAGCATTTCCTGACACAAGTGAAATTGCAGGTTTAGTTGGAAAAAAATAAAAAGGAATATACAAATACAAAGGTGGCAGTCGGGAGAAAAAGGGAGTCCTTTAGGATTGAGTAATGGAGGCTGACACAGAGGTGGCTCTTGTAGCCTTGTTTTCATTTTTATTTAGCTAACGTAAGTACGGCAGGGAGATCCCCTGTGATTTCGTGGTTGGTGATGGGAGAACATTTACACAAATGTTCTTTCTGCTGTGGATGCTTCTTGTAGGGAAAGCTCTGGCTTTAGGACACGTGCCATTATTCAGTTGTTAATGCCATACTGAGTATTTGTATAAGAGGGGCTTTAAGGTTTACAAAGTACTTTTCATGGATAATCCCATTTGATCCTCACCACTCTGTGAGGTTATCCCCATTTTACACACAAGGAAACTGAGGCTGAGAGAGGTTCCTTTTTGTGATCAGGGTCACACAACTAAGTATCTGAAATAATATTTGGGCTCAGGTCTTCCTGACTCCAAGTGCAGCTCTCCACCCACTGTGTCATCTTTGTAACTTCAGTCTTCCTGAATTCAGATATCCTTGCAAGGTATTTGAAGATATCCCAGAATTTGTTACTGAGAGACTTTAACTGCTATCTCTTATTTTAAGTTGTTTTCTGCTAGTCCCATTCATTCATTCGTTTATTTGTGTATGTGTGTGTATGTATGCATGCATGCATGTATGCATGTATGTTTAGAGAGGTAATGTTTTTCCCCTAGTGGACAGAGAGCTGGACTCAAAGTCAAGATGACTTGAGTTCAAGTCTTGATTCTGACACATACTGGATTTTCCCAATTGGTCTTTCTCTCTCCCTCTTAATTCTAGTGCCTTTCCTCTGTTGATAATTTCTTATTTATCTTGTACAGAGTCATTTGTTTTCATGATTTCTTTCTCCCCTATTAGACTGTGAGCTCCTTGAAGGCAGGGGCTATTTTTCCCCCCCTTTCTTTGCATCCTCAGCTCTTAGCACTGTGCCTGGCACATGGTAGGCACTTTATTCAGTCATTTCAGTTTGTCTGACTTTTCATGACTCCATTTGAGATTTTCTTGGCAAAGATCCTGGAGTGGTTTATCATTTCCTTCTCCAGCTCGTTTTACAGACAAAGAAACTGAGACAAACAGGGTTAAGTGACTTGCCCAGGGTCACATAGCTAGGAAGTGTCTGAGGCCAAATTTGAAGTCAGCTCGTATTGACTCCAGGCCTGGCGCTCTATTTATTGAACCATCTAACTGCCCCAGTAGGCACTTGCTAAATGTTTTTTGATTGATTGACTCTGTGACCCTGGGCAAGTCTCTTAACCTTCCTATCCTAGGCAACTGCTAGACTGTTAAGTCACAGAGAAGGGCTGTCTCCTCCTTGGGTAGTTCACTAAACCAGTGAAATCCCAGAGCCACACAGAAGGCAGCAATCTTCCAGGCACTTAATTTTGTCTGTGCTCTCAAGTGTTTATGCCTTAGGCATGGGCATGAGAAGAAAAATATCCCATTCCCTTTTCTAATAATAGTCTCTTTAGCTCCCTGGGGTCACCAACTTTGTGTTTTCTATTTTAGGTACTGCAATAAGAGGAACCTGGCTGTCAATCCTCAGGGGGGGAACACAGGTATGGTGGGGGGCAGCGTTCCTGTCTTTGATGAAATCATCATCTCCACATCACTAATGAATCGAGTCATCAGCTTCGACACTGTGGCTGGTGAGTTGCCTTGGCCTCTTTCGAGTGCTTTTGGGGGCTACGTAGGAGCTGGAGAGAAGCCTGGCATCTCTTTCTTAGTTTAAATATTATTTGCTTTCAGACTGAGAGGTAGAGTTGCCCTCCACTATAGCGTATTATTGTCTGTTTAAACATTAAAGCTAATAACTTGGATTCTAGGTCTGGCTCTGCTACCAATTATCTGGGGATGCCATTAAACCTTTTTCAAGCCTCAGTTTCCTGATTTGTAACAAAGAGATCATAAGGCCCACCTCATAATGTGGTTGTGAAGATAAACAAGATAATTAATCCATGTGAAAGCACTTTGTAAACTGTAAAACTCCATAGAAATACAATTCTTATCTGACCTCCATTGAGCCATAGAACAAGGAGCCCAAAGTTATTGTTGTTTTTCAGTCCAAAAAATGAGCCAAGACTGAGCCAAGATCACCACCACCTCCTCCTTAATTCAGTATCTGTCAGGGCACCCCTGCTTTGCCAAATCTCCCACATTTGAAAGGATGGTGCTATCTTTAACTCCTCCCACATAGCTGATGAGTTACCAAGTCTTGTCAGTTTCATTCTTTTCTATTTCAGGAGTCCGCCCCTCCTCCCTATTCCCCTGGCCCTCTGCCTAGCAGGAAACCTCGTTAGCACCCTCCTGGATCATTGCGTAACCTCTGAACTGCCCTTTTCACTCCCCACCCCATCACCTGTAATAACAGCCTTCTAGCCCCTGTCTGGATAATCTTCCTAATGCCGTTCCTGCCTTATTGTATACTCCTCCTCTTGCTGCGTTCTCTGACCAGTCAAAACGGACCCATTGCTGACCCCTTTTCATGCCCTGTCTTTTTTGCTGTCAGTTTCCTGTGTTTAGAACACCTTCTCACCCAGCCTTCCCCTTACGGAACGACACCTTTTATAGGAAATCTTCCTTCATCTCCCAGCTGATGACAATTCCTTGTTCACTCCTCACACTTAGACACTTACGTCTTATTTTGTATTGTAGTTATTGGTGTTACGTCCCTTTACTAGAATGTAAACTCCATGAGGGCAGGACCACATCTTTTCTGAACTCTCAGAGCTGTGTTTGGTGTTCTGCATACCATAAGCACTTAAGTGTTTTTTTTTTTTTTTTTGGATTAAGTCTACTATTTTGCATTTCTCATCTCTTCTTTTTAACTTTGTGATATTCATTGTAGTTGGAGTTCAAGAAAAACTTGGTTTATTTAGGAAAACATTTTGTAGATATTGACCAAAACTCTTCATACATACAGAACAATGATAAAAATTTGATTTCCTTCATGACTTACCAGAAAAATTACTCAATTCATATGGAAGATGAAGAAGCCTGGAAAATCAGTGAAATTCATTTTAACTGTTTATCCAACTGTTTTTTTGTTTGTTTGCCAACTACTCAGATGACACAGCCTCATGATATTTCCATATTTATTGACTTCAGGAGACACAGGTAGTGCTAGCCTTTCCATTTATGTACTTGTCATTTCCCCCTCTAGATCCTTTATCATCCACTCCTTTCTTGTTTTTCAACATCTTTTCTTTTTTTTCTCTTTTTTTATTAATTTATTTTGATTTATCAATAATCACTTCCATATGCTTTTGAGTTTAAAATTTTTCTCCCCCTTCCTTCTCACTACCCTCCCCAAGATGGCACACAATCTGATATAGGCTATACATTTACATTCCTATGAAACATATTTTCACATTAGTGATGTTGTAAGTAAAAATTAAAACCAATAGGAGGAACCATCAGAAAGAGGAAACAAAACTCAACAGAAGAGAAAAAAAAGAGCAATTCGACTTCCATAGTTCTTTCTTTGGGTGTGGATAGCATTTTCTATCACAAGGCCTCTGGAGATGTTTTAGATCTCTGTATTGCCAGGAAGGGTTAAGTTTATCAATATTAGTCATCACATAACGTGGCTGTTACTGTGTACAACGTTCTCTTGGTTCTGCTCACTTCTCTCAGCATCAGTCCATACAAGTCTTTCCAGGTTTTTGTGAAGTCAGCCTGTTCATCATTTCTTATAGCACAGTAGTATTCCATTACATCACACAACTAAGTGTCTGAAACAGTATTTGGGCTCAGGTCTTCCTGACTCCAGGTCCATCACTCTACCCACTGTGCCAACTTGCTCAGCCGTTCCCCAGTGGATGGGCATTCTCTCAATTGCCAATTCTTTGCCACCACACAAAGAGCTGCTATGAATATTTTTGTATATGTAAGTCCTTTTCCCCTTTGTGTGATCTCTTTGGGATACAGCCCTAGAAGTGCTATTGCTGGGTCAAAGGGTATGCACATCTTTATAGCCCTTTGGGCATAGTTCAACACCTTTTCTACTTCCTTCTTTTCTCCTTTTCTCTCACTGCAGGGGAACTGATTGCTTAATTATTCTAGTAAAGGCATTTCCAATTCCTGAGGTAAAGGAAGAAGGCTTCTTTCTCCCCCTCTCCACTGATCTGAGGCAGGGGGAGGGGAGGGTGGTGGTGACTCCTTCCCTGAGGCCAGGATTCTCCCTAAGTACCAGATGTGGTTTGGGAGGCATGACAGCTGTAGTTAGTAATCGCTTGTCTTTCGCCAAAGGTGAGTATGTGACAATAACTTAATCTGGTGTTTTCAGGAATTCTGGTTTGCCAGGCTGGGTGTATCCTTGAGCAGCTGAACCAGTATGTAGAGGAAAGAGATTTCATCATGCCCCTTGATTTGGGAGCGAAGGGTAGTTGTCACATTGGCGGAAATGTGGCCACTAATGCAGGTGGTCTCAGACTTCTGAGATACGGCTCTCTGCGTGGGACCGTTCTTGGACTAGAAGTGGTAAGAGATCCAAGCCTTGAGCAAACTTTAGAGCACTGTTGTTCTCAATTGGGTGCAGACAATTCTGTTCTTGCTGCTTGTGAATCCAATATGTTAGTCCTTTCATAATTATTTAAAAGGAAAAAACCGAACCATTGCTATTTACCTCAATCTTATGATCACTATTAAGGGATATTATTTGGGGCTTCATATGTAAAAATCTATGATCATTTTTACAATCAGCATTTTGTGTGTGTGTGTGTGTGTGTGTGTGTGTGTGTGTGTGTTTGCTGTTCAGTAGCTTGTAGAATGTTTCAATATAGTGAATAGGACATTGACCCTGAGGTCACACTGACCTGGATCAAACCCCACCTCAGATACTAGCAGGTGAACCTGGCCAAGGACCCCAAACTGGGAGCCTCACGTATTTCCTTATCTATTCAAGTGGGAACACTAATAGAACCTCCCTCACTGGGTACTTGTGAGGATCAAAGGAAATGTTTGTAAAGTGCTTTCCAAACCTTCATAGAGCGAGAGACAGGTGAGCTGCTGTGATTATAAAGCTCACCGCCTTAACATTGTTTCTCGAGGATGCCCTGATGCTGATTTCCATTGACACCAGCTTGACTGTCTAAGGGCAGAGATGGTGTAAGTAGGCAGGAGGGGCAGATTCAGTTGGAAGGCAGCCACGGACTCGACGTAATGACGGCGCTTATCTTCTAGCGAAGATCTCATCTTTGACTTCCCAAGCCAGTTAATGACCACCATCGGCTATACGTCTTTGAAAGGATCTTGACGAATGGGTTGGGCTGCAGATTTGGAGTGGGTTTCTTGTCTGCATCTCTCCATTTCCAGCAGAAGTCCCATGAGATGGGACTGTTCTCTTTGTTTCCTTAGCTTTCTTTCTGCTTCTCTCTGGCTTTGGAAGTAGTGCCAAGCCCTATAATTAAATGGGTCATTGGTGTGTGAATGTAGCTATGTCCTGAGCACAATCAGGACTCCTAAAGCAACAGTGAAGTGAAAGTGTAACAGATTCCTGTCAACCTTTCCCCTAGATCAGCATCAGTAGGGTGTTCCACCGAGTATACATATATATATATATATATATGTCTCCAATTGAAGCAATGTAGCAGAGTGGGGAGGGGGTTGACCTTGGAGACAGGAAGACCTGGGTTTAAGTCCTGCCTCAGACATTTCCTAGCTGGGTGGTCCTGGGTAAGGCACTGAACCTTGCTGAGCCTCAGGCAACTCTTTGGGACCCAGCAACTAAGTCAGTGCTGCTCAGTGGCAGCTAGGTGATGCCGTAGTACACAGAGTGCTGGGCCGGAGGTCAGGAAGACCTGAGTTCCAGTGCTGCCTCAGACACATACTAGTCGTTTGACCCTGGGCAAGTCACTGAACCTCTGTCTGCCTTAGTTTCTTCATGTGTAGAATGGGGATAATAATAGTGCTTACCTCCCAGGGTTACTGTAAGGATCTAATGAGATTTTATACACATACACACACACACACACACACACACACACACATATACAGTCAATCTTTAACTTTCGCAAGAGCAATATTCCTAGAAATAGCGCAAAAGTAAAAAATGTGAATGTTGGTACATGGAACCTATGGGAAATAGAGGTGAGGTTCCTGCTACTAGCAAAACCTGTAATCTTTCTCAAGAGACTACTGAAAATACACTTTTCTGCATAAAATTCTCTATAGCAAAGCATTAATTCTGATAATATGCACTTTTCCTAACACAGTAAATGTGAAATAACCCATAAAATGCAATGCATAAAATAAAATTGGTAACATGCAAAACATTTTTCACTAGCAATTCCTTAGAATTCTGTGACCTTTTGTTTTTACATGTAATTGGGGAAAAATAAAATATTATTTAAAAAACAATTCTCTGAATTTTTGTGCTAAAAATCTCAATAAAAATTGATTTTAAATAATATTCGCTTTTTATAACACACGAAATCTACAGTATCATAATTACTACCGCAAATAAAATTCTTAAAACTAAAACATTTTTTAACCCAAATTTTCCCTTCCATTGTGTCAGATGGTTTGAAGTCATTGTACTAAAAAACAAATCTCTGATTCAGTGACACCAAACTTGTGACCCATAGAGGCTGCAGACATTTTCTGGCACAGGATTTATCTAACACCTTTATGTTCTCACTGAGCCACGTCACTGACTTTGAACACTTGGGCTTAGAGCCCAAAGCACTTGCACTGTACTTTGGGGGGGGGCATAACTGTGGCACAAAACTTGAGTTTTAAAGGCAAATGATGAAAATATGCAATGAATGCACAGAATAAGACCAGTGGAGCACCTAGGAGGACACCAGGCACTCCACTTATGTGCACGCATGTATTGAGCCGCTCATTTTTTTTTCCACTTACTTAGCCGTGAATGTGCATGATTGTCAACGCAAAAGTGAAAATGAGGTTATTAATAAAATCACGTGAATGCTTAAAGGCATGAAAGTTAAATGCTTGAATGTTGAGGATTGACTACACACATGCATACATGTACAATGCATGTAGGTATACAAATACGCATGCATACCTGTATATACACATATACATGCGTATACGTAGCCCAGACCTTAAAGTACTGTATGAATGCTTGCTTTTATCATGGTTATGAATGAATCTCAATCTAAGAATTCTTCATGTTGATAAAAATCCCCAATCCTTTGTGGATTCCACTGCACATGAGTAAAATGGGTCTGAATAGGTTATTTTGGGAGAAAAAAATAAGTATTAGTAGGAAAATGAAGAGGCCCAAGTGGCAAAAGAAGCTGAGCAGGACTGAAGGGAGCAGCTTGTGGGCTTGTAGGGTCAGTGGGTGGCAGCCCTTGGGTGCCCTGGGCCTCTGACGTTTGCATGGCATGGCTTTCACTGATGGAGACTTCAGGCTGTGCTGTGGTCAGTGACGAGTGATGAGCATTTGTGGGTGATGTTACACAGGGTCAGTCCAAATGTTAAGTGTGCTTTTTTCCCTACAAAGCTGACCGTCAACAGCTAACAAGAAACTTTCTGTTGAGTCCTGGGCACCTCTGTTTGAAGTTCCATTAAAAAAAAAAAAGATACCTTCATGAGGACTGCCAGCGTGCTACAGAAGGCTCTAAAAAGCTCATGTCACTTAACTATTAATGTTGCTATGGTTTGATCCTTTCTGAAACGTGACAGAGGCTCTTGATTGGGCATAGCCCGTTGTTTAGTGTACGCTTGTGAGTGCATGTGCATGTGTGTGCATGTGTGTGCATGCCCCAGCTGGCCGTCCTCATGTAAACTGTGTCTTCACTACCATTTGCCAAATCTCAAAGCTTCAAGAGCAAAATTGTTATTACTTTGCCATCTGCTGATGGCTGACTAGGAGATATAAATATGCTTATTCACTTATTTTCAGAGCACTCATCAGCCCTGGTGGCTTTCTCCAAATGTCGGCGTGCCATTTCAAACCCGTGCTTTCCCCTCTCCCCTGCCAGGTGCTGGCTGACGGCCTTGTTCTGGACTGCTTAACTTCCCTGAGGAAGGACAACACTGGCTATGACCTCAAGCAACTTTTTATTGGCTCAGAGGGCACTCTGGGCATCATCACTGCCGTTTCCATTCTATGTCCTCGGAAACCTAAGGCTGTGAACTTGGCATTCCTAGGTAGGACCAGCAGGGTGACTCAACCTGACCAGTAGAGGCAAAGTCCAGTGGAAGTTTGGGAGGGTAGGCGGGGACAGGTTTGAGCTGAAAATGAAGCTCTTTGCTTGCTGGGGACTCAGACCTTGTTCCTGTGACTTACTTTGACTGTGGGGAGCTGAATCTGAACAGAAAGGACTGGGAGGCACAAAGCTGCATCCCAAGTGGGATCACTTCACCTTGCACATCACCATCTGGCCTTTAGCTGGGCTGTCAGAACTAATGGCACAGCTGGCATCTTAGGCCCTGAAGGAGTTGATGTAGCGCTGGAACCAGGATACCTTCATTCATTCATTCAGTCAGTCAGGCAGCCTTCTCTGTGCCAGCTCCCTTTGAATTAGAAAAACCCCCTCAACTTCACTCTGTAAGTGCAAGCAGGATACATTCCTTCATTAAACATCTGTTAGATGCCTTCTGTATGCCACCTCCCTTTAAGAACCCAACCTCAGTCTCCAATAGAATCCACTCATATTATTCCCCCATGTTGGTCACTATTCAGAATCCTACTAGAGGTGAACTCTGAAGTGTCAAAGGGCTCATTGGTTTTTTGTTTTTTTTTTTTAATATCTGAGGCTGACCTTTAATTATATATGCAAATTGGCATAGCATGTACAAGACGAGCGATCTTTAGGTTGTCCGGGGTCCAGTAAAATGGTAGTTACTGATGGTCAGTATAATCACTGAAGCGAGATCCACAAATATAACTTAGTCCAACTTGACGAAGCCTATGTCCTTGGCATACTGCTGGAAGCACTGGCGGCACATGTTCAGGCCATACTTGCAGATCAGGCCATGCTGGTGCGAACAGACGTGGCACACCCGAGACCCTTGGCCGAATTTTTGAGGGTGGCTCCAGGAGAGCTGCTGGTGACCCATGGCACCACTAGCAAAGGCACGAGACAAAAGCAAAAGGGCTCATTGTTACAAGAACTAGTTTCAACGTTTGGAAAAATCCCAAAGTCACCTTTGTCTTTGGCATGGGTTTATTATCCTCCATGTTCAAAGATAACACTGTCAGCCTGTAGGTTTAGGGGTGGGTTCTACCTGTCTTGTCACCTGTGTTATTTCTTGCGAGTTTCTCTTTGGAGTATGAGCTCCTGTTCCACTGGAATGATATCGCATTGTATGCCTCTAGAAGAGAGCATGGGAGGCATTGCTTGGGGCGAGGATCTGTTTTCCCATTTTTATTTTATTTTATTTTTGGCGAGGCGATTGGGGTTAAGTGACTTGCCCAGAGTCACACAGCTAGTGAGTGTTATGTGTCTGAGATCGAATTTGTACTCAGGTCCTCCTGACTCCAGGGCTGGTGCTCTGTCCATTGTGCCACCTAGCTGCCCCTGGTTCTCCCATTTTTAACCAGTGATGCCTTCCAGATGTGATCAATGAGGCTATTTCTAATGCTTTGACCTTCCATGGAAAGGTTGTCCAGGTTTTGCTGAAGTTCTGAAAACCTTCAGTAGCTGCAAGGGAATGCTGGGGGAAATCCTGTCTGCCTATGAGTTCATGGATAACAAATGCATGCAGCTGGTAAAGAGTCACCTCCGACTGTCCAACCCCGTCAAAGGTACCATTTCCATCTTCTTGTGCTGTGAAATCAAATTGCTGCTGCTTTTTAGGAAATGTGCTTTATTGGTTGGGTGTTAAATGTTAGTTCTATCTTAACATTTCAACGTGGGGAGAAAAAGAAGTACAGGCTAAGCAGAGTTGTTTTCAGCAGCTGACTTGGAGAAATGTCAGAAATACACAGAAAAATAGGACATGGAAAAGTTTGCATTGGGATGACCTTTGGCGATGCCACCTGCAGTATCTTGAATCTCATTAAATTGAAAGCCTGCCTGTCTTTGTATCTTTGGAGCCTGTCATTGAATCATGCTGTGTTAGACTTGGAGATTTTAAGGCACCATTGAGGCCAATGCTCCCATTTTACAGACTTAGAGAGAGTAAGTGGCTTGTCCTTGGTTTTTCAGCTGCTTCCACAGCAGATCTGGGGCTGGAACCCCAGCTTTCTGCCTGCTAAGCCTGTTCTCTTTCCATGTGATCACATTGCCTCTCTGAAAAGAGCACAGAATTTGGGCCCTGCTTTGGTTTGCATCTGTGATAGGGGTATTAATACTCAATATAATTCAACAAGTATATGCTATGTAGAAGATACTGGTAGGTGCTAGGGTTACTGAGATGAGGTAGAATGCGATTCCTATCGTTAAAGAACGTTGGGTCTAATAGCATCTAAGTAAGACAGGAAAACAAATCACTTCAATCTAAGACTTCCTTCGGAAGGAAGGAAGCAATCACTTAGAGCTGATAGTTTGTGAAGACTGTCACACCGGACTACCTTTATTTCCTTTTTTCAGTTTGGTCACTAACCTCTTAGATCAGGGGCAGCCAGGGATGTAGTGCATGTCGATTTCAGCAAGGCAGCTAGGTGCAGGGTCTCTGGCTGTCCTCGTGAATGAGATGGAGAGATACGCCCCAGGTGACAGTTCACTTAGATCATTCAGGAGTAGACCCAAAGAGTGGTGATGGATGGATCCAAATTCAGCTTGGAGTAATGTGATCCATTTCTCCTTTCTCTTCTTCCCTTGGCCTTCCATGGTCCTCTAAGGACTCCCCATTTGGGAAGAAGCAAATTCCTAAGATGAAAGAGCCATTAGTGACTTGCAGAGCATAAGGGGAAAAGTGATTTTGACATATGAGCTGCAAGATCAGAAGCAGAGTTGTCTATAGATGAAGAAGCCAACAGGCCAGGGGGAAGTCAGAGAGAAGCATGTAGAGGTTAAAGATAGAGCGCATTTCTGAGAGTACAGAAGTTGGGGCAGGAGATGCTGGTGAAGATGAGTGGAAGTCAGAGTAGAAGAGGAGGGAGAGCAGCCTGGGTTGCATTCGGGAACTTTCTTAGGACTGTGGCTGGTCCCTAGCAGGTTCCCAGAGCTTAGTCACTGATGCAGTGACTGTCCCTCTGAGCTTTAGCAGATGATTTCTTGGGTTGCTGTGGCTAAACCAGTTATCATCTGATGGCCAAGCTTTGGGTTCTGGCCTCCCTGAACCTCACTGAGGAGCAGCATGCTCAGAAGAAAGCCTAGATTTGAAGCCATCCCAGCTTTGCAGGACACGCCCAAGCTGGCTTTGGTTAGCCCTTCACGGATGTCATGCCACAGTGAGGCACTGGAAAACCCCTCCAAATACCAGTAAAAAAATGGCTCTGAACAAATTCTCAAGCACAGTGAGAGGGCACACCTGGTAGGCGGTCTAGCCTAGACGTATTAGAAATCGATTGAATTATGACTGAGCTTTTATCTAGAGGAGCCGTGGGAGGGATGATGTAGAAGGCAGAAAAGTCAAGTGGTGCCAACTCTGAGCTTTTCAGGAATTGATTTTGAATTACTGGTTGGATTTATACATCTCATGACTCATCCAGTTTGTGCTTTTCTTGTGTGGTTCCAGAAAATCCCTTCTATGTTTTAATTGAAACTTCGGGCTCTGATGCTAGGCATGATGAGGAAAAATTGACTAACTTTCTGGAGCAGGTTATGAGCTCTGGTTTGGTAGCAGATGGCACCGTAGCCACGGAGAACACAAAAATAAAGGTAACTCTGGTCCTCAATATGTCTGGGAACCTTTCCTTCTTAGATTTCTGTATCCTGCCTTGGTGAATGCCCTATGGCCTAATGTTATTTAGGAACTTTGGAAAAAGATTAACAAAGAAATAGTTCTTGGGTATTTGTAAGTTAACAGATGCAGAATTTCCCTTTGAGTTTAGTGGTGAATGTTTTCTTCTTTGGTGCTGCCCTGTTGGGATTTCTTTGGTGTGGGGGACTTTGGGGATAGAGATTCCCTCCACCAATGCAGACCAGCAGCAACTGGTCTGAATCTTACAGTCTTTGTGCATCAACGGGGGGCGCTAAGGTTAAGAGACATTCTAATTATTCATTGTGTTGCACGTCTTCTCTTAGTACTTAACAGTAGTATTTTTCTTCTCTTAAATGTTGTGATAGAGAATAATGGGTTTTACCACCCTCTTTCATTGATCTGTGAATTATTGTCTTTTCTTGCCTTTGTAGGTGGATTTGTTATTTTTTATTTTCATTTTTTTTTTTTTTTTTACCAAGGATGAGCTTTGCTTGCTATCATTTGTCTTTTCTTGGTGGGAATCAGAACTTTAAAAATCCCACCCATACTAATAAATCACTGTTCACTTGCCAGACTTCACCTCCCTTTTTCACAAAGAGATTAGGGAGTGATTTTTCATTCTAGGAAAGTTTCTTCACTTCATACAAGTATATAAGTCAGGGTACCTTTAAATGATCAATTTCTGCAGCATATTTAAAATGAGAGTCAGTATGAAAAAGCTTGATTTCCACAGAACTCTTTAGGAAAATAGCCTGTGTATTGTAACCGTTGGCATACTTCATTCTTGTCTTTATAAAGTACAAATTCCCAATGGGTGAGGTGTCTTCTGAGATTTAGTATCATGTGTTAATTAAAAAAAAAAGCAACTCTATTCTCAATACCCACATGACCCTGGATAAGTCACTTAACCTACTTCAGCCTCAATTTCCTCATCTGTAAAATGGGGACAATAATGGCTTATCTGTTAGAGGGCTGTTGTGAGGATCACATATGATACTGAATGCAAAGTTCCTGCAAGTGTTATAGAAATACTTGCTGTTATTTTCGCTGGAGCTCCTCTAAATACTTGTTTTTATTTCCCCTGACCTTCTGCCTCTTAGATGCTGTGGGCCCTGAGGGAGAGGATCACAGAGGCCCTGAGCTGCGATGGCTACGTATACAAATATGACATCTCACTGCCTGTGGAGAAGCTGTATGATATCGTGCTTGACATTCGGAGCCGCCTGGGCCAGAGTGCCAAGAGTGTGGTGGGTTATGGACACCTAGGTGAGCGGCCCCCTGGGAATGCTTGTTTTCTCTTGATGGTGGGAGAGCAGCCTATCTCAGTCATCAGTGCATTGCCTGGAGAACCATGAGCCTTAGTTAGGTTTCACTTTCTGCATTTGTCACCTGTTCACTTTGTGGCTTTTTGTGTTGACATCTGCAAAATGGGCTTAAACAAGGCTGGCCAAGAGCCTGTCTTTTCAGATTAAGAGAATTTCCACTGCTTTATAGACTTTGTTTTGCATTGTTTGGAACAATTGTCCTACACAGTTATTTTAAATATTTTTTTTTGGGGGAGGAACCAGATCTCTGACATCATTAGTTCAGGGTATTTGGCCTGCAGAAACTCTCCTTACCAAAGCAGCTTGGCCCTGCTCTGCCACTTAGAGAGTGGCACAGGGCACTGAGATGTCACAAGACTTGTCCAGGGTCACCCAGCGCATCTCTAGAGGAGGCAAGGCCTCCTGACTCCACAGAGCCAGCTGCCAGCTCTCTGCCTCCTCCTTGTCAGCCTCCTTCCCCATCCGATTATAAGGGATTGCTTTCCACAGGGTTCAATCCAGTGTGCACTTATTAAGTGCCCACCATGTGCAAAGCTCTAGAATTACTTGTTGGAAATGCAAACACAAGGCAGTTCCTGCAATCAGGGAGCATCTGTATGGGGGATGCAGCATCAGTTAGCACAGTTTCAAGGCTGGATAGTGCACCAGTAACTGAGGAGATGAAGGAAGGGCTTGTGGAGGATGTGGCAACTGAGCTAAAAACATGGAGAAATAGAAGTGAGAAAAGAATGCATGTCAGGCATGGGGAACGGCTTGGGAGAAGATATGGAGAGGGGGTTTGGAATGCCACTTCTAAGACCAGGACATCATAGGTTTAGTGAAGAGGGGTACTCTGAAAGAAGTCTGCAAAGGGAGGTGGGAGCCCGATTGGGACGGGCTTTACAAACCAAACAGAGGATTTCGTATTTCATTCCAATGAAACAGGGAGACACAGAAGAGTTTTGAGCCAAGGGGGTGGTCAGACCTATAGCTTAGGAAGATTGCTTTGGCAGCTGTGCGGAGGATGTTTTGGAGAAGGAGGATTCTGGCCCTAGCACTGGGAGACCAGTTTGGAGCCTGCTGCAAGAGTCACGGGCACACAAGAGAAAGAGACACGGAGGACCTGATCGAGGGTGGTTGTTTCAAATCAAGTGCCAGTTAACAGAAGTATGAGATGTTGGGGGGCAGAATTAATAAGACTCGGGGCAATTGACTGGATATGGAAGGAGGGGAATGGAGTGACTGAGGCTATGGGGGAGCTAGGCTGACTCAGAGGTTTCCCATGTGGGTAAATACAAGGAGGATGATGCCCCCACCAGAAGTAGGGGAGGAGGGGCAGCTTGGGGGGAAGGGAATGAGTTCTGTTTTGGAGATACTCTGTTTAAGATAATGATAGGAATTCTAGTGTTGGTGTCCAGTGGACAGTAGGAAATTTGAGACCAGAGTTCAGGAGAGAAATTAGGGCTAGATAGAGAGTTTCGGGAGTCACCTGCATAGAGCTGATATCTAGCATGGCAGCAAGATAGCATGGTGTAATGGATAGAAAGCTGGCCTCAGGATCAAGAAGACCTGAGTTCAACTCCTGCCTGGGTTACATATTGGCTGTGTGACCCTGGGCAAATCACTTAACTTTTCAATGCCCCAGGCAACTCTGACTATAAATTGTAAAGCAGCTGCCAATCAGTGTTACTCAGAGATGTTCCTGAACTGATGAAATCACGGGTCTGGTAGAAGGGTAACCTGTTAGCCACCTCCTGCAGGTAACATGTATGATACAGATAGGAAAATAACAGTGAAGAGGTCCAGTAATGTAGAGGAGACAGTGTTTAGGAGGAGGAGCAGTCTTAGTACTCACAGCTTCTGATGTCTGCCTGGTTGTGCAGTCAAATCAAGTCAATAAGCCCTACCATATGCAGAGTATGGTTAATAAGCAAAATGAACTAAAGATTGTAGAGGTAAATTTGGCCTTCTAGCCATCACTGAGCCGTGGTGGTACATGCATGTGACTGGTTCTGTCAATGGAAGGTGGAGAAAAGGCACCATGGGGTAGCGCTTGTAGGAGAAGGAGATGTGCTCATTTGAGGGGATCCATAAGCCAGAGGGGAAAACCAGGGTGGAGAGCACTTGGCTAAAGGAGAATGGAGCAGAAGGAGAAATGCAAGTAGTATGGTGGTGGGTGTAGATTACAGAGCGTCCTGTCAGGCCAGAAGGAAGGAAAAGGGAGGCAGTCCAAAAGCCACTGGTAAAACTGGTGTGAAGGCATGGTTCTGTAGTGATTAAGACTTCTTAATCTTCTGGGTATCTTCTGGGGTGCTCTCTGTGTAGGTGAGAAGAGCTGGTAAAATCTTGGATTGCCTTGAGGATGATTTCATTCTTCTAGAGGCAGAGAGACTGATGTGGGTAACTGCCACTGATGACCTAGGTCTTACCAATAGGAAGAGCTGAGAGCTATGGAGAGCTAGTGGGCACTGTGGGGGCAATAGCACTGCCATCTTAGCTGATGAGAGAGAAAGAGAGGAGAGGGAACATCAGAAAGGTCAGAGCAAGGAGTAAGGCTGAGTGGCTCATGGCCTAAGCTGGTGAGAGGAGTCTGCTTCCAGAATGAAATGCTGACGCTCAAATGCCAGTTATTCCAGTGGAGAAGGAAAGAAGTGGATGGTAGAAAGCTGCCTACTGAAGATGGAGACAGAGGCTGGGAAGGGAGGCTCGATGCCCTGAGTGGGGCTGCTCTGGAAAAATGATGCCAACGGTCTGAGAGCCGGGAGAAGCTGGGGCTCACAGGGAATGCTAAGGCCGACTGCTTGCTAACGGAACTCTTTTAACTATGTTGAGGACAAGAGGAAGGTCCCCGAGAGGATGAGCCTGCTGCCTGGGGTGGATAGGATGCTGGTGTAGAGTGGAGAGTGGTCAGGACCAAAGATAGGGCTCTTCAGAATGCGAAGGGTAGAAGGAATGAGCAGTGGGGATGATAACGTTCCCATGCCAACAAAGGGGGAACACAGAGATGCCAGAGGCAATCCGGGCCCACGCAGCTTGCTGGTTGGTGTCCCAGGAGCAGACGAGATAACCCTCTGCTCTAGCTTTGGTCTTCCTGGTGCTGGATGATGGGAGCTCATGCTGGACCTTGGATCCATGAGGAGCCAAGGACAGAGGCACACAGCCTGACCTCACACTCCAAAAGGACACACAGAACCTGGGCTGCCATGTCCAGATGGCATCACATTTCCCTATCTGGATCAGATGGAATGCCCCCTGCACTCAGCTCCATGTTGGAAATACCACTGCCCACAGTCACCATTAGTAATCGAGTGCTCACGTATCAGGGATGGGTCTTCCTGTTCTAAAGGATGGTGGCATCAATGGGCTACTCATCTCACAGCTTCTAGTCCTCTTAACAGTTTGCACCAGGGCCCAGCAGGAGAGGTGGGTGGCTACATGAGCCTCTCCAAGTGACTTGAAGTTGGGAATGTGTACAGAGCTGCGGTGTGGGGCCAAGCTATCAGTGGAGTGGTGGCAGCCTCTTCTGGGCTAAATGCATCCCTGCCCTCTCGGGGTGGAGAGGGAGCTGTGGCTGGGACTGGAGCTGGGTGTAGCACCTGCCCAGTTCCAGACATGTGAACCTTCTTGAGGCCAGGCAAGGTCTGCCTTGTGCACAGCTGCCCAGCAGACCCCTTGTACAACTGGCAAGAGAGGGCAGCATCCAGGCTCCGGACTTTGCAGTGCTCCTCCCTTTCCCTTCTCCCTACGGTGCTTGGCTTATGCTTCCTACCAGGAGGTGCGTACCAGTCATTTCCATTGCCACTGGGCATGTGAGGGCTGCAGGCGCTGTGGCTCCTGCTGACTAACAACCAGATGCTCAGCATTGGCAAAGGTCTGAGACTCTGCCAAGCCTGGGACCTGAAGCATCTGGTGACCAAGAAGGCCCAACTCATCATGTGCTCATCGATTTAGACCAGGAGGCCCTTGAGCCTGGTCAGCCTCATTCTACAGGCCTCTGGAGGTTGGGGGACCAGCTCATGGTCACACACATACATGGCAGAGCTGGGATTGGAATCTTGCTCACTTGATTCCAAGTGCAGGATCTTTACTGCCATACTGTGGTAATGAAAATGGGCTGTGTGTGTATATGTGTGTGTGTGTACATGTATGTATGTGGGTACATATCAACACCTGTGCATGCATGGGATGGTGGTGGGGGAAGGAGAGAATTGTTGGGGGGGACGGTTGTGCTCCTGAAGTCCCATCTTCCCATCCCAAATGGCCTTTCCATCTTGGAGATGAGGGGCAGCCAGGTGAGTAGTTTGCATCCTGTTCCCAGATTCAGTCCCTGGGTTATCCTTTGAGCTTGGGTGGTGGGGGTAGGCTAGACCCTGGGTCCCCAGCACTGTCTGGGAACATTGGAGTCCTGGAGTTTTCCAAGCCCACTTCCAGTAGGACAGCATGTGGGGGCGACCAGAGGTATGTTTCTCTACGGGTGTGTTGCTAGACCGAGGTTGATGGGTCTGTGGCTTCCACTCAGGCTCAGACCAGCCTCCCCAAAGCTAATTTGGCAAGGCGGGTTTTCCCCAAAGAGGTGCTGGCCCAGGCTCAGGCAGGGCTGATGGAACCTATGTGCCCATGACAGCACTTGGTGAAAGAGCTTAAAATAAAAAAAAAATTGAAGAAACATTTTGCACTTTGAGTTTGTAACATTGCCAAAACACCATTGCCTAGATCTGAGTGGTCATATTCGATTTTCAAATTATCCAATCAAATAAATGTGCCAATTATCCCCATTCTGTAGAAGAAAACCCCCCAAAACTGAGGCCCAAAGACCTCAGTGACTTGGCAGGGTCCCACGGCAAGCTGGGGCTGGAATCTGTGCTCAGCTCTCTGCCCAGCGTCCTTTCCCCAGACTAAATCGGGTGTGAGTCCCATGGAAGCCAGTCAGGACTTAAACAAGTGGAAAACGATCCCTGCTCTTGTGTTATTTAGAGCTGGTTATGCAGCCTGGGGTCCTTGTGCTCGAGGGTTGTTTTTGCCTCGTTTTGTTTTAAAGACGTATGGTCCATCCTCGGCCCTGCTTGTAGGCTCTCGGTGAAGTCTTGGTCGTTGTGAGCTTCTGGGGCAGCCTCTGTCTGTTGAGTTTTGTCAAAAGCATTGCTAAAAGAATCTACTCACCTAACCTGCACCTGACCAATACTTAACCATGGGCAGGTCTGTTGTTCCCAACATTCTCTCTGTTTTCCATGATGCTGCGTGTTCCAGGATGCACAGTCTCTGATCCAATTTCGTTCTCTTCCTTCAGGAGATGGCAATCTGCATTTAAATGTAACAGCCAACGCATACAGCTCTTCCCTCCTGAAGGCCATCGAGCCATATGTGTATGAGTGGACTGCCCGGCACCATGGGAGCATAAGTGCAGAGCACGGGCTGGGGTTCAAGAAGAAGGATTTCATTGGCTACAGTAAGCCCCGAGAAGCAATCCTTCTCATGCAGCAGATCAAAGGCATGTTGGATCCCAAGGGAATCCTGAACCCTTACAAGACCCTGCCATCGAGTTCCTGTTGGTGATGCTGCTAGTTAGACTCACGTGGACTCCCCCAGTCAGTATTCGTTCTGCATTTTAATCAGTGATTGCAGTTAAGAGCCAAGTAGAACTCTAGACACAACCTCACTGCACTAATTGTGGTGATTCCAGAGGACAGTGGGTGCTCACACTTCCTACTGGCTACTACTGCTCTTGTGTGACTTCTTTTCCAGCTTGAGACCATGGCATCCCTATTCCCTGGTGTGGCATAGTGGAGAGAACCCTGGATTTGGAGTTCAAGGACCAGAGTTCAAATCTAGGCTCTGGTACGAACCACCTGTGTGATCTTAGAAATTCCCTTTAACCTCTATGACCCTCAAGTTTTCTGAGCCATGCCGTGAGAGAGGATTGGAGCAGACTACCTCCAGGTCCCTTCTGGCTCTAATCCTCTGTCCAGCACATTCGGGCGAGTCAAAGTATAGGCATGATGGCATGGGTTGAACCCTATCAGTGTTTGCCATGAGATTCAGGCTGGTAGTCCTAAGGGGCAATGTGAATTTTCTCTCTCTTTTTTTCCCCCATTCCTTAATCAGAGGCAAGAATGGTTGGGGGTGGTCCCTGTGATGCTCACCTCTGATGAAAATGGTGAAAGCATGTGCCGGCTGTCCTCTGGCTTCTCTGCGAGGTCCAGAGTTCGGCACCTTGATACTTTAGGAAGACATGCTCTATGTCAGCCTTACAAAGAATCACAAAAGCCCTGCCTGCCTTCAGCCCTGAGTAATAAAATCAGTAGGCAAGCATCCTTTCCTGTTTCAGTATACCAGTTGTGTGTTTGGGACAAGGATGATAAGAGCTGGGTATTTATTTCAGTCATTTTACCCTGAGCCCATTCAGTTGATGGAAATACATTTAGCTCCTTCCTCTGGGGGCATGATTTCCTGTCTTAGGGAAGATTTTTGTGGAGGTTGGAAGAGGCCAGGATTGGGTGACAAGGGCATGGCAGATGGTAATTAAAAGCTTGCTGTTGGATTTCATTGGATTTATCTTATGCTTTAAGGGTTCCAATGTGCTTGGCATGTTATTTTATTTGATCCTCACAACAACCCTGTGAGGTAGGTACTTTTATTAGCCTCATTTTACAAATGAGAAAACTGAGGCTGATAGAGGTTAAGTGACTTATCTAGGGTCACACAGCTAGTTAAGTGTCTGTGGCAGGGTTTGAACTCAGATCTTCCTTCCTGACTCCAATTCCAACACTTTCTACCACACCACCTAAAACACCCAGAGCAACAACCTTAGCTTCTTGTATGTGATTATATTTGTACCAGATTAATAGGAATACCAAAGAAAACTGGGCAAGATTGTGTTGATGTGGATTTTCTCATTTGGAAGGTTAAAATTTAGGAGAGAGCTAATCTTCCTGATGGAGTACTTGTTCTGTCCCTCTTGTGTTTTATCTTGACTTGTCTGTTGTAAACATGGGTTGTTGTTTTACCTGCTTGGAGACATAAGTAAACCAAGGCATAGAAACATGCCCCAGGGCCCCTTATTCCAACGTTTCACAGTCACATGATCGGAGAGTTGGGGAGGACCTTGGAGAGGTCCAGTCCAACTGCTCCATACCTAAGCCGACGAATCCCCTCGGGCAATGTAGGTTTTTGTCTCAGTTACTGTTAGGAGTGTGATCACCTGTGATCTGCTGGGATGTGTCTTGTCTAATAGCATCCAGAGCTGAAATCTTTCCCAATATGACCATGTCTTTCAATAGCAGCATTTACTGCAGATGAAGACAAATATTTCGTGGATTTTTCATGGTCTCTTTTCCCAAGAATAACTTTCCTCTGTATGGTCATTTCTGTAGGGTGACAAAGATTTTCCCAATGCTGGGTGGCAGAGGCACTGGGGCAAAGTGGATGGGCCTACTGGACTGGGAATAAGGTGACCCAGACTGTGTTTCCTGCCATTGATGGCTTCCAGTGTGTCCCCCACTGAAAGTTTTCACTTCCTTCATTGTCCTTCATTGTATAATTGGGAAATAGTGCTACAATAAAGCCCTCCTGGGGCAGCTAGGGGTGCCACAGTGCACAGAGCACTGGACCTGGAGTCAGGAAGACTCATCTTCCTGAGTTCAAATCTGACCTCAAGACACTTACCAGCTGTGTCTAGTAACTGTGGGCTAGTTACTTAACCCTGCTTGCCTCAGTTTCCTCATCTGTTAAAAATGAACTAGAGAAGGAAATGACAAACTACTGTAGTATCTTTGCTGAGAAAACCCCAAGTGGGGTCACGAAGAGTCAGACACGGCTGAAAGAACTGAATAGCGACAAAGCCTTCTTATAAAGCACCTCACTGTACTGTAGATGATGATGACAATGGTGCTATCATAATATTGCTCTCATCATGTGTCTGGCTGCATAGTGCTGTCCAGTCCAGCTTCCTCACGTAACGTAAAACCGTGGAAGGTTCAAGCTGGAAGAAGCCCATAAGAGGATTTAGGGAGTTGGTTCTCCTGACGTCCTCATCATGCTAGGACCTTCCTGTGATCACCACTGACTTGTCCCATAATCCCACTGTGTGGGGAAATAGGATGATGTTCCTTGATTGTTGAGTTTCTTGAGGAAAACGGGCCAGGCGATGGTAAAGGACTCTACCCAAAAGTGTTATTGAACACACTAAATTGTCTTTTGTAATGAAATTTTGGTGCCATGAAATAATGAATAAAATAATAAAGAAGCAAAATTTGGAGCCATTTTCCATGTGTTTGCTGGAGTCAGTGGGGAGTTGAGGAGCCTCTTGAAAGGGATGTGCTGAGGTCTGTTGGGCGAAAAATGCTCATGTGCTGCTGTCATTCAGTTCAGAGGAAGGACACATCAACTCAGCAAACACTTTTTTTGGGGGGGGGGTCACAAAGTGATGGAATCTAATTGCTGAAAGGGACCTCAGAGGTCAACTAGAATCCATCCACCATCTATCCTGCTACTTGGTGTCTGAGAATTTAGCCATGGGAAACCTGGAGGAGGGTTAGTGTAAAGGAGCGTCATGCATTGCTAAGGGCAGAGTTTAAGGGCTCACGTTTGGAAAGTGAGATGAGAGTTGTCCTTCCAAGTAAGATGGACTCCAGTTTGTTAGGCTGTCAAGCCAGAACTGGGGAATGAGGATGATACCTAAATACTGATGGATTGATGGGGGAGGGGAAAGGGAAGCCCTTGCCAACCAAATCTGAATGTTAATTAACACTCACACCAGTTCTGTTCACAGGCTTAATCAGGGCTAATTCAAAGCAATGAAGTATTGAGATGTCTGGCATTCTGTTGTAAGATTGTGAGACGATATCTAACCTCCTCATTTTTTTGTAATTAGCTCTAAGTTACATGGCCAATTAAAAGAGGAATTGAGTGACTGATGAAAGGTCATGGCATTTTTGACCAGATTGGCGTCCTAGTGAAATGCACTGGCTGTGAAACCCATCCTTAGGAGCACCTGCAGAATGCTGCTGATGCCGGTGGCTATGTAGAAGAGGCTGGGTCATTTGCTTTTGGAAGAGTCATGATGTCCCTCATGTAAAGAAAGTTGTGTAGAGTAGGGTTTCTTAAACTCAGGTCTTCCTGGACCCAGGGCCAGTGCTGTATCCACTGCGCCATCTAGCTGCCCTCTCCTTCAGCACTTCTTAAACCGTGGGTCAAGACTGGATATGGAGTCCCAACTCACAGTTTAAGAAGCGCTGGAGCTTTGGGGCACATGCAGATATTTGGTAACTGGTACTAGACTGCTAATCACATGGTGAGGAACCTGGACCTGGGGGGGGCATTCCCAAGGCTCTAGGAAGCCTTTCCATATTGGGTTGACTTCTTCCATTCTGGCCACATTCCAGTGAGAGGAGAGCTGATGCTATAAGGCCGTCCCCACTGGAGGCCAAACATGTGACCCACGAATGTGGACTTCCATGCTTTGGTTCTACATTTGCTCTTTTGTTTTAGGAGAAGGAGATTGGAGAGGACCACAACAGATGCAGGAGAGCAAGGCTGTAGTACTCGATATGATGGCATCATAGATTCAGAGCTAGAGGGACTTGAAAGGCCATTGAGTCCAATCTACTCATTCTGCAGATGGGAAAATGGAGGCTTAGTGATGGTAAAGTGGCTTGCTCAGAGTCACACAGCTAGTCAGCATTTGGAGCATGATTTGAATCCAGGTCTTCCTGGCTCTAAGTTCGTTGATTTATTCGTTTGTTATTCGTTTGAACGTATTAGTCTAGATAGAAGAAGAGCCCTGCAGTGCCCCAACCCCAGGAAATCGAAGAAGGTCGAGCCTTAGGATATGCCCACCCAAGTCTACAAGGAGGGTTTCCTCAAGGATGGGCATTTTTGCTGGATTTAGAGCTGGAAGAAACTGCAGAAGACATCGAGGACGATCATTTTATTTTACAAATGGAGAAGTCGCGGTCCAGAGAAGTGGGTGACTTGCCCAAGGTTGGACAGGTAGTAAAGGGGCAGACCACCCAGCACTCTGACCACTGCTTCTCCAGAGGCTTGTTTGGTTATTCGCTGCAAGAGGTCACTGAGTCCAAGTGCCATCTAGTGGTCTCACTGAGTAACTGCATAGACCCAGGGTCACTGGGGAGTCCTAATGGGGAGTCCCAAATGGGGAGTTCCAATCACCATTTGGCCATCACGTGGTAGGTACGTTTTGATTAATGGGGCATCTCACAGATACATTTTTTGAGTCATGTAAACCAATGAAAGTTATAACAATAAACATAACTTTGTTTGACGACTCTCTGAGTATTAATAATGAGAAACCTGCCCCGCTCCTGGAGTAGATCCCATGTAGAATCCAGGATACAGAAAGGCTCTTTCTACATCACAGGTCATAAGGTGGGGATTTCACAGGGTCTGTGAACTTGGATGGTAAAAAAAACTGCATTTTGATTTTCACTAGCCTTTGGTTTCCTTTGTCATTCTGTGTATTTTATGCATTTAAAACCACTATTCTGAGAAGAGATTCATGCTGGCAAAAATGTTAAGATCCCGTTTTAGATGGTGAGGGTCTTGTACTGCTCACATTGGTGGTTCATGTTGTGCTGGTTGCATCCCACCCCAGAACATTACAGATTCTCATTTAAATGCCCGTTATCATGCAAAAGAGTTCAACCTAACTATCCACACATGAGAAGCAAAGTGGATGAAGAATCTCTGTTGTCTAGACTATAATAAATAGTTGGAGGGTGTCCATCTGTGTGTGTGTGTGTGTGTGTGTGTGTAGGGGTATCCCCAAAATCTTAGTACAGTTTTAAGCTTTTAGTAACTTCAGAAATGGAAATAATACAAATTCCCCAAAAACAATATTTGAAAGGTTAGTTAAAATTTTAACATATCACTGTTTCTTATTAAAGTTCAGCCTAGCCACTGTCTTGTGGTATACCTTGCTCTAGTCAATTTTCAAAGTCTATAAAAATTTTCACCAGCTGCTTTTAGGGATAAAAAGGATTGCCTTTGTAATCCCAGCCTTAAGATTCTCCAAAGATGGAGGTTTGGATGCGTATAAGATAGCTTTGCTGTGACCTCATGAGAAAGATTCTAATGGAGATAGGTTAGGTGACTGAGATGGCCAAGCAAGAGGACTGCTGCTAGTTCACCAGCCTGAGAAAGTGTCATCCAGAAGCTATTGCAGATGCAATGAATGATGGCAGTGTGCCACCTGGTTAAGGTTAAAGACAGATTTATTATTAAAAATTTGAAAAATTAAGGAATTGTAAATAAATAAAATTTTAGTTGGTGTTTTTTCAAAATTTGTAGTATTTTTAGTTCTAGAGTTATTAAAGCTTAGAATTGCATTAAGACTTTTGGGACATGATATATTTCATTTATTTACACACAATATATGTCATATATAAATATAGACACACATGCATCTTGGGGAGATACTGCAAAAGTATGATGACCTAGCTCCAGAGCTAATCAAGAGGAACAGGCTCCATCTCCTTGGGGAAATTGCAGAGCTCCTTTAAAGAATTCCAGCTTGTCCCTGAAACAAAGTCTGCCTGCCTTCCTTCCTTCCTCCCTTCCTCCCTTCCTCCCTTCCTTCCTTCCTTCCTTCCTTCTTTCCTTCCTT